GAGTTCGAGGCCAGCCTGGTCTCCAAAGCGAGTTCCAGGAAAGGCGCAAAGCTACACAGAGAAACCCTGTCTCGAAAAACCAAACAAACAAACAAACAAACAAACAAAAAAAAAAAAAAAGTTAATTCAGATGCTAGAGAGAAACAGCTCAGAGGTTCCGGGCACTTGTTGTGTGAAACCCAAACAGGAGCCACACTGTTGTTAAGGAGCTACATTGTTATACATTGTTATTAAGTCTCCATATCTTGCAAGAAAAAGTTTCTGTTTCCTAAGCCTAATATATCCTGCAAACCACGTTTCATAATCTACTCTGAACTGTGACCCCATGACGTATGGCCACCCCCTTTGCCTTGTTAAACTCCAGAACCTGTGATTGCCCTTTTGCCTTAGGAAAATGTGTCTTTGCAGATACCTTGATGACGCTTCTTTCACAAGATGGATTCTTGCACTTATCTACCCCACAGGCAGCCTTGAGCCCTGGGTCCCCCACTCTTCCTAGCAGGTGCTAATAGCCAGTTATCTCAGCAGCTGTTTTCTATCAACCCTAACCCTTCCCCATGAAAGGGACCTCAAAGGCCAGTGAGAGGCTGCTCTCTGAAACCCGGACTTTGAGAGAGGCAGCCAGCTGGCCAGTCTAATTAAATTGGATTTGGTTTTGCTCAGGTCTAACAGCTACTCTTGCAGAGGACCCAGGTTCAGGTTTCCCTGGAGAACATCTATTTCCAGGGCATCTGACGCCCTCTTCTGCCTCACACAGGCACACATGTGGTCCACTTTTAGACAGGCACCAAAGATCCATGCACATAAAATAATAAATCCCTTTCAGTGTTGATCCAGCTGGGCTTGTCAATCACCTGCCCTAGAGGAGTTCTTATCCTCTTTCACCGGGAATTCTCCACCCTCAAACTATCTGAGTCCCATTGAGTTTAATAACCTGTCCTCCATAGACGCTCTCCACGCAGACACTTCCCAGCTTCCCTCAGGCAGCCTGCAGAGCCGCCCTTCTTACTTTGAAAAGTATCCCGCCTTTTCACCTGGCCAAAAACTGGTTGTACTTTTCCTGACACTGTCTTTTCTCATTGGTTCTCCAAACCACATCTCTTCCAGCAAGAAGCTACTGTGTACATGTCCTTGCTTCACAGTCTCCATTAGGGGAACATGTCAACCCCGCTCAGACTCAAACATGGCTTCCCATAAGTTTTCTCCTGGCAGCTGCTGAGAATTATAGTTTGTCTTGTCTGCTCAAGTTTTTTGTTTGTTTTGTTTTCTCTTTACAAGCACTGGGAAGTTAGCTTTGAGCTTTCTAGTCCATTTTATATTAAAAAGAAATTTTTTTGCAATTCTCTCTTTACATTTTTTTTTCATTTTGTTTATGTGTGTTCACAGTTGGAAATGGGGGTCAGATGAATCTCCTAGCGTGCAGTTTGTCAGGCTTGGTGGCCAGCATCTTTACCTCCGGAACCATCTCACAAGCCCCTATGTTTGTTTTTTTTTTCCTCCGTAGATTTTATTTTAATTTCCATGACTGTTTATGAGCAGGAATGGACATGCACGTTTGCCTCTAGGGGTAATGGAAACTGGATCTCCAGGAGCTGAAGTTACTGGCAGCTGTGAGCTACCAGGACTAGGTGCTGGGAGATGCACTTTGTCCTCTGGGAGAAAAGAAAGCATTCTTTACCATTGGACTATCTTTCCAGTAGCAGCCCCAGGGTCTTACTTTGTAACCCTGGCTGTCCTGGAACTTGCTGTAGAACAGACTGGCCTTGAAATCAGAGATCTGCCTGCCTCTGTCTCCCAAATGTTGAGATTAAAGGCGTGTGCCACCACAACGGCAGTATCTATCTATCTATCTATCTATCTATCTATCTATCTATCTATCTATCTATCTATCTGATCTGTCTATCCTAAGAGGGGGCTGGAGAGATGGCTCAGAGGTTACAAAAACTGACTGCTCTTCCAGAGGACCTGGATTC